TTGAAACCTCAAATCCACCTCCAGAAGTGACACACTTCCTCCAACAAGGCTACACCTCCTAAACCTTCTACTCCTTTCAAATAACTGCTCCTGGGTGGCTAAAGACTCAGATATATGGGGGCTGTTCTCATTCAAACCACCGCAGTATTTGTACTGACTCTTATCTGAGAAACTTGTGATTTTTTTTTATTTCCCCTAAAGACTTTTTTTTTTTTGAGACAGAGTCTTATATATAAGCTTGGCCTTGAACTCACTAACATAGCTAAGCGAGACCTTGAACTTCTGATCTTCCTGCCTCTGTCTCTTGAGTTCTAGGATTACAGGGACGTGCCAGTCTGCCTGGCTTATGCAGTGCTGGGGACTAAATCCAGGGCTTTGGACCTAGGTAAGAGCTTTACCAGCTGAGCTCTGGGCCTGGCCCTCAGGTCTGAAGTTTGGGGTGTGTGGATGTAGCTGTGGCCAGTCGTTGTGGGCTTCCTGCCCTCACTGCTCTGGGGTGTGCCCAGCAGCTGGCTTGCCTGGCTTAGAGGAGGTTCCACCTGGTTTGCCAGAGTGCCGGCGAGGATCGCTCCACATCTTCCCCGGCACCCGAGCTGTCACTGTATGATTCTAGTCACTCTGGGGAGCGGGCAACATCCCCTTATTGCCAGCTTTAACCTGTGCGATTTTGACCATTTTCACCAGGTTTCTAGGCTGTTCTTAGCATCGTGGCTGTTAAACCTTTTTTTCTTCTTCCTCTCCTCTTTCCTCCTCTCCCTTCCTCCCCTTTCTCCCTCACTTCTTTCTCTCTCTTTTCCTTTTTTGTCCCTCCCCCTCCCCCTTTCTCCCTTCTTGCTTGCTGAGGACAAGCCTATGCAATCAGGGCTTAGTAGGTTAAGCCGACTTAATGCTGATACTCCAGTAAGAGGGGTCAACTCAAAATTGGCATTTGTTTTGTGTCCCTCTCCTCACGAAGATATTTTGAGACCATTAATGACCCCATAGTTGGTCAGCTTTATGCAAATAAATAGTCTTGCAAAAAAAAAATCCTGAACTCTTGCCTGGCTGGAGGGAATAGACCACGGATGCACAGTGACTGCACTAGAGACAGAAACAATGGCCACGGACTCTTTGGTAACCAATGCCGAAGAAGGCCTTTGAGTCAGGATGATTAATACCACAACAGTCAAGGCACTGCTGAGCTGGGCGCGCTCTGAGAAGGGAGTTCAGATATGAACTGGCCTCTGGGGCCTGGCCAGAGAGAAAGTCCACAGAACACAGGGATTCTTCTTGGAAGTGCAGGGATTAGCACATGCAGGTTAACATGGGGTGTTATCATTCTCTCATGGTGCTGGCTCTGGAACCCAGGGCCCCTGCTTGGGTTAAACACAGGCTCTACCCCAGAGCTGTATCCAAGCTCAGTTTGTTTTTTTCTTACTGACTCACGGGAATTTTAAAAACATGTTCTGAGTAGAAGTCCTTTCTTTTTCTTTTTCTTTTTTTTTCCAAAGATGTATTTATTTATTATGTATACAGCATGTATGACTGCAGGCCAGAAGAGGGCACCAGATCTCATTACAGATGGTTGTGAGTCACCATGTGGTTGCTGGGAATTGAACTCAGGACCTCTGGAAGAGCAGTCAGTGCTCTTAACCTCTGAGCCATCTCTCCAGCCCCCTTTCTTTTTCTTTTTGAGACAGAGTGTCAATGTGTAGCTCAGGCTGAACTCCCGATCCTCCTGCCTCGGCTTCCTGAGTGCTGGAATGCCAGGCCTGCCCTACCACCTCTGGCTTAGATAGGATGCCAGGCATGCCCTACCACCTCTGACTGAGATAGAATGCCAGGCATGCCCTACCACCTCTGGCTGAGATAGAATGCCAGGCATGCCCTACCACCTCTGGCTGAGATAGAATGCCAGGCACTCCCTACCATCTCTGACTTAGACGCTCTTTCTAGACCACATATTGCCTCTTCAGTTTTGTCTCCTCCCTCATTCTGAATGCCAGCTCATATTCTATTATTTTTATTTATGGTGTGTGTGTGTGTGTGTGTGTGTGTGTGTGTGTGTGTGTGTGCCTTTCAGAGGCTAGAAGAGGGTGTTGTATTCCCTGAAGCTGGAGAAAGCAGTTATGAGTTGCCTGACTTGGAGGTTGGGAACAAACCTACTGTCTTCCTGAAAACAAGTGCTCTTACCCCTGAGCCATCTCTCCAGTCCCATGAACACATTCTTGATTTTAATTTAGTACAGCCTGCCTCTGTCCATTCATGGTCAAAGCCTCCTGCGTCCTGCTGAAGCAAGCTCTGCCAACCCCCTTTCTGGTGTAGGGACATTGCTCCCTAGTGAACGCGTTGTTCTGTATGTCTGATCCCCAGCAGACTGTGTTCTTCATAGCTGTTCTCATCTACCCAGATCCATCACCTAAGGTCCGATGGGGTTCCCAGCACCCATGTCTAGCAGTTCACAACTGTTTCTAACTCCAGCTCCTGGGGATCTGATGCCCTCTTCTGGACTCTGTTGATATCTGTACTCACAATTGTGTGTGAATGCACCCCTCCACACACACATATGCACACAAATTTAAAATAAATAAGTAAAAAGATGTTCAATGTGCTTTGTTAAATATGTCACTGTAGCTAGAATCTGGGTTTTTAAAAATTAAGGTCTATGGAGGCTGGTATAGGAGAAAGACCTGAAGCTGGGTCTTGAGGATGGAGTGGTGGGCAGAGCAATGGCCCCTCAAGGATGCCCAAGTCAAAATCCACAGAACCAGGAATGATGCCAGGGGCCGATACTCAGCTGACTTTAGGGCAATGATCCTGGATCATCCAGCTGAGCCCAATACAGTCCCAAAGCTCTCAGTGGAACAGAGAGGCTGGAAAGAAGAGCCAGGGACATGACTGGACATGAGGAGGACTCACCTGGCCTTTGCTGGCTTTGTAGATGAATGAGGCCATGAGCCAAGAATTTCCCTGGAAGGGAGATGGACCCTCCAGGTACAGATTCTTCCCAGAGTCCTCAGAAGGCTCAGGAGGCCCTGTTGACACTTCTGGGTGGGGAGTGCCTGTGTTTGTTCCAGTGGCCATAGACGGTGACAAGAAGACATGTGTGTGTCTGTGTGTGAAGGAAGACAGATTTGGTGATGTAAAGGGCCCTCAAAAGAGGCCTGGGTAACCTGTGTGCAACAGTGAGAAAGTGTCACTGGGAGGGTGTACCCTGTGGGTCTAGAAAACATGTTCAGCTGCCTCTCCTGGAGGAAGAGCTGGGGAGTGGTGATGGCCTCTCTCAGAACATTTTGGGGGCTCTTCTCCTGAGTTAAGCCCAGCAGATGCCTTTCTCCTATGTGGTGGTGTCACCTAGCCCCACCCCTAGAGATATGCCTATGCCTCCTCTCCCAAGGTCCCTCGGTCGCCCTGGAGGCTCTGACAGGCGGGATCGTACACAGAATCTCTCCTGAGTGGCAATCTCTGGCATGTAGGAAATTTACACGTGGCTCACTTGAGACACCACCTTCATGGCTCCACCTGCAAAGCCCCTGTCCATGTTCAGGCATGAGTTAGTGCCCATTGCAGGCTTGGGTTCTCGTAGGTCTGAGCAGAAACCTGGGCTGTCAGGGAATATATTTCAGACTCTGAAAACATTTAGCAAGAATAGACTATGCAGCAGCTACCCGCTGAACACATATGGCTTCCAGACAGTTTGTCAGGCAGGCTAGACTGGTGTCCTGCACTGTACACAGTGACACCTGCTCCTGGGACCACACGCTGGGGCTGGCGTCCCTTAGCTCTCTCTACCTGCAGCTAAGAGGCAGGCGTGCTGGGTGGACATTTGAGCTTTGTGTCTCTGACCACGTTCGTAGGTAGGAAAATCTGCATAAGCTCACAAGCGGCATATTTGGGAAAAGAAGGGAGTATAAATGCACATGGGCGTCTGTTGTAGAAATCTTCCGCAGGCCTCTGATTCCTGGACCTGCCCTTCACCACAGAAAACACATTAAAATAACTCCCACACGACTCTTCAAGAATTTGAGCTTTGAAAAGCAGTTTTCATTGGAAATTCTTTGGCCCCAGGGAACTCCACTTGGCTCTTGACTTTTGGACAATATTTATCAGGTAATTAACAAGTGGCAACCTATATCTCACAAATGCCCTTCGGGTATATCAAAATGCTCATCAGGATAAATTAGAGTTAGGAGGCTCTGTTTGGAAAAGTCCTTATTTGAATTCGTATTTATTTGAAACTTAGCCGTGCACTTCTTGTATTTGGGGGCCAATTGAAAGTTCTTGTCCTGGTTCCCACGTTTTCCTGTCTTTGAAAAGTCAGGTGAATGAGTCCGGTAAACGTGGCCACAGGTGTGTGGTTGACAGCAGGCAATAAAAGTCGGTTACCTCACTTAAGGCTCCACGTCCTCACCTCCTATTCAGGCTGGGAACAGGCTCCAGCTCGGTTCCGGACACCATTGGAGCACAAGGGAAAAGATGTTGCGGAGCCTTCCTGGGGGGGCATTCCGGTTCCAATGCGTGCGACGTCCCTGGTTTCTCGGGTCCCCAGGGCAGTTTCGGGTGGTCATCCTCCTTTCACTAGGGCCGGTGGAAGGTAGCTGTCGTCCAACACGCAGCTCTGGGACCGGCCTTTGCTCTGCAACCCCAACCCGGGCAGGTGACACCCAGGGCGCCCCCGACACGTGCTCGAGACAGGGGCGCCCTGGAACCTGAGCCACACCCCAAGGGTGACCTGCGCACCACCAGCCGCCTAGACCTTGGGCGAACGCCCCAGCCCCCCAAGCCATCCTTGGGGCAGCCCCCTCCCGCGCCGCCCCCGGGGATAAAGAGTGAAAAAGGACTCAATGGGGCGCGGGTTCGTGCAGAAGTGATTTCTCGGAAAGGCGAGCGCTTCAGAGAAGGCGGACCCAGCGGGCCGCTCTGGATGGGCGGCGCCCGCGCCCCTCCCGCGCGCCATTGGCTCGCTCGACCGTCGCTCTCACGTGGTGGACCCGCCCTCGCCCCCGCCCCCGCCCCGTCCTTAAAGGGGCGAGAGCGTCGACCCAGTAGCCCGCGGCTGGTTGCCGAGGCGCGGGCAGCGTGGGAACCGGCGGCAGGTAGGACGCGGCCGGGGAGGGCGCGCGGGCCGGGGCTGTGTCTCTCCCACTTGCTCCCAGACCGAGTGTAACAGCACGTTAGCAGGTGCCTGCTCCCGAAGACTGGCTGCTTCTTAAAGCTGCAACCACCACCACCACCACCACCACCACAACAAACCCCCTTTCCCCTTGAAATTTGCCTGATGGGCAACTTCATGATGAAGAGAGATAGTGACCCCTGTATTGTAAAACCTGCCAATCTCCGCGCGGCAGTCAGGTTACCAAGAATGAACTATCCAAAGCAAGCAGGTGGGCTCGCCCAGGGACCTACAGGCTTTGATTCTGACGTCTGATTGCCCAGTGGTGCAGGACTTCTCTGACTGCGCCATAGCCCAGCTGGCCCTGGCAGGAAAGTTATGTTCCGTGTGGGTTACAAGCTCCCAGGACTGGTTTGCTGTGAGCTTGGCCCCAGGCTGTAGGGCAGACATTTCCTGGTGAGAAGGGTTACTTAGCCACAGCGGGGAAAGGGGTTCGAGGGTAGAAACTAATAGAAACTAGCCATAAATGTTCTAGAATTTTAAAATTGTCTCCCGTAGCTCACTTTTTAATTTTTTTATTTTTGTTTTGAGATAGGGTTTCACTCTGTAGCCCAGGCTTGTCTGGAAAACCTGGTGGTTCTCTTGCCTTATCTCCCTGAGTGTTAGAATTTCAGGCCGAGCCCCCACTTTTTTCTTTTAAGGCCAAAGATAAGAGCAGTTACACCACAATTCTGGGTTTGTTCTTTTTAAGTTATGGCAGGGCTCCTTCATGAAGATCTGGGAGTGATTCAGTGACTTGAGGAAGCTTGGGGCCACAGAGAGAAATGGCTATGATGGGTTTCCGCTTAGTGGTAGCCAGAGTGGTGACCAGGGCGGAATGAAGGAGATGGTGTGGGGTGAGCCCTGCTACACATGGCTGGTGCAGATGCTGACATCTGGGTTGGATGAGCCCCTGCCGCCTGGTATCACCTGCCTTGTGAGGAGCCTGGCCCAGGACACGTTGCTCTGGCTGTGGGTTAACTGTAGACAGGACTGGGCCCAGAGAGGGACTGCTGCCTCAAAAATCAAGAAGAGGAAGCTATCATCATGTGAGCATGTTTATAAATTATTGTTGTCCATAGTTAGAAGAGGGTCAGGCTCTGCCTGCTGGGACCTCAGAGGTGATTGCAAAGGGATTAGAAGGGATTGTCCATGTGCTGAGAGCCAGAACCCAGCTGAGGCTTGTCTGTAGAATGAATACAATCACTTCTGGGAGCTGGGGACAGTGCTGACAGTTTGTGCTGTGCCCAGGGGATGGCTGTCCCTCCAAGCTTCTCCTCTGAGTGAAGAGGAGGCTGGGTTAGAGGATTTTAGCCTCCCAGCTTTCACGGTCTGTAGTTCACCTTTCCTTCCGGTGACTTCTTTTCTCTGTCACCCTCTAAGACAGGTGTCTTTACAGTTTGGGGGTGTTGGTCCTCCGAGGAGCCCCGATGAGAAAGTGCTGTTCTTTTTCTGGGAAGAGCTGTAGCCATGCTAGCGAATTCTCTTTAGATTTCAGGAGGCTCAGGTGCCAGGAGCTGTGGTTTACAAATCCATCTCCAAGGGAGAAGTTGGGAGGGTTTTTCTTTGACATATCCTCAGACACCAGTCCCTCTGTTGTATCCTGAGTCGCGCCCCCCGCCCATATTCATCCTTGCAGCCCACATAAGATACTGTCAAGTTAGGAAGACGCTCCTCTCTCCTCCCTAGAACAAGTGGTGGGAGCCAGCACCCTCCTTGCTTTGGAAGATACTTGGTGGCATTTTATTTCTGTTCTTGGGTATTCTTTTCTGTCCCATCATTTATAAACACTTAGAATTCTGGGGTTCTTGAGATATCCTCTCTTCCCCTGCTTTTCTGGTGAGGGTCCTCAGACTGAGGACCAAATGGCTTCCCAAGGTGAAGAGAGCCCTTGCTGAGGTCAGGGTTTCCCAGCCGAAGTGCTGTTTTGCTTGAGATGTGGCCCAGGTGGCAAGAGCACTTGCCTGGCATGCACAAGCTCTGGGTTTCGGCCCTGTGAAGGAGGGAGTGGAGGCAGGAGGATCAGGAGGTCAAGGACATCTTCGGCTACCCAGGGAGTTGGAGATTGGCTTGGGGTATGAAAATTCCAAAAATAAAACAAGAACGGAACCTGAGTCCGACTCCGCTTCGGCCCTCACCTGCTTCCAAGCCCGCAGGTGGCAGCTGGGACTGTTGGGTGGCAAAGCTGAAACCAGCTCTGGAGAGATCTCGCCTCCCTCTTTCAGGACCCTGCCTGCTTTCCTGCACCCTCTGCTGCTTGCAGCGGCCTGCAGTTTCTGACCTGCATGCCTCTTCCCAGCAATCCTGACTACCGTTTTGCTTTGTGGGACACGCTGGCTCTAGATGTAACCATGTTCTTGGGGACATCATGTTTCTTCACTGCTGATTACTTCTTTCTTTCCTGCCCCAAGAGGTCACATTTTAATTGGAAGACTAGAAATGCTGTGTTCTAGTTTTTGGGGGTGGGCGTCTGTCCAACTGCCTCGGGGATTTCCAGGCTGTTCTTGTAAATGCTGGCTGCAAGTCTCTGGGCACAAACGTTCTCTTTCCCCCGGCGGCGGCAGGCAAAGCTACCTGACAGTACTGGTGAGAATGCCCAGCTGGTGAGGGTGTCGTTAGGTGTCAGGGGTGGTGGGGCCTGGAGACAGAGCCCCCGGGTGGGCTTTGCTCTTGTCTAGGGCTGGTCATAAGAGTCCCTGAGGATCTGTGTTACTGGAGGAGTCCTCTAGGGCACAGACTCTGACACAGGTACTTTACACACATCACCTAGACCGAATCCCTAACACTCCAAGTTTAAATGGCTTTAAGGTCACCCAGCTGGAACATGACTTCAGCTCTGACTCATTCCCAGGGGGAATAAGACCCTATCCTGTTTTGTATTCCTGTTACCACTCCAGCTAGGAAAGGACAACCTGTAAGAGGTAGCCTTTTCTTTCTCAGGAGGTGCTGCGGTCCAAGTCTGCCAGGGACAGCAGTCCCCTGGGCATCAGTAGTTCAGCTTGTTTTCAGAGTGGTGGGCAGCTCATAGCAAAGTACAGCATCATCTAAGAGCGACTTCTTCCCAGCAGGTGCCCTCAGTGTCTGGAATGGGATATTAGGGGAGAGCTGGAACTCATAGCCAGAGCGGTGGTGGGTGGGGCACATCTTTGGACAGGCAGTTCTGAGTCCCTCAGGCTTTCAGTTTTCATTTGGGTTTAGAGTCATGGGGCACTACTGTTTTCTCTTGGCACTGGCCCAGACTTCTCCCAAGCCAGCACCTTTGTGTGGACCTCTGATCTTCCTGTCAGTTCTGGGGTCACTGTGACTCACGAAGCCACATTTGTTATACTAAAAGATTTGTTTTTTTTTCCAAGGATGTGTGACCGGAATGGCGGGCGTCGGCTCCGGCAGTGGCTGATCGAGCAGATTGACAGCAGTATGTACCCGGGGCTGATATGGGAAAACGACGAGAAGACTATGTTCCGTATCCCTTGGAAGCATGCCGGCAAGCAGGATTACAATCAGGAAGTGGATGCTTCTATCTTCAAGGTAAAGGCTCCCGCGTCCCCACGCGGTGGTTTCTGATTTCTCTCTGGCTCTAGAGGTACTTAGGAGTGTCCTGATGACTGAACAATTAACCCAGTATTTTAAGAGAAACACTGGCTGAGGAGTGCTTGGATCTGGCATGTTCCCCCATGAAGTCAAGTGTGCTTTCCACCTGCTCTGCACCCCTTTGCCTTGAGGTACTGCCAGGCTCTGCACAGTACTATGGAAGGCTTCAGTCTTTTCTCTTTCAAAGTGCGACTCCTCCTTGGCATGACAGGGCTAGCTGAAAGGGTGACAGGTTTCCATCCTTGCTTCTGGGTCAGGGTTCGAGGGACATTCCGAGCCTGCACTTGATAGTCCCCCTTCTGAGGACACTGAGGGCAGGCCAGACAGCTGGGGTAAGAGTCGGCTTGAACTGTTCTTTTTTTTTTTTCCCTCGTCTCATCCTGTGTGGCAGGTGATACTCCTGTTGCATTCTGCAGGGCACTGAGAGCAGCCGAGGCTTCTCCAGGGTCTCATAACCCCTCTGTGATATAGCCAGCATTTGGGATCAGGGGGCTCAAGGTCTTAACCCTTTATTGGACTGAGAAGTAGGGCAATTTCTCCCTAAGGACCAGGCCAGCCCAGCTCTGCAGGCAGGCTGGGTCAGGAGTCCCCTGTGGGTTGTCATAGTCACCTATGGGTGTTTCTAAGGCCCTAGGCATCTACATTTCACTCTGGGAGTTTCAGAGTCCTAGGTCATGGTCAGCCCAAACTTCTACTTTGTCAGCAGCTACAGCCTTGGTGGTCTGACCCAGAGCCCAGGTTGTAAACCACTGCCTTTAGTTCTGTGTGTTCTGGGGAGCTGGGGCTGGGGAGGAAGGTCATGAGGGTCACAAGGCAGATTGAACTGCTGAGGACTAGCAACTGACTCAAGACTGTGGTCCAGTGGGGGAGCATGGCCTGCAGAGCACTGTGACAGCCAAAACTGTCTTGGATGCTGTGCTTTGGGGCACAGTCTTCCCTTTCCAATGAGGACCCTGAACTGAGCTGGTGATGACTCTCACTGACACTGAATTTGAGGCACAGGGTACTGGCAGAGAGACCATCACGATTCTTCCAGAGAAAGGGCAGAGCGCTGGCCCGGGGGTCTCACTTGTTGCAGGAGATAGCAGGTCTCTCTTTAGCCAGTTCCCTACTTCAGTGAACCAGGAGTCCTGAAATAAAGCCCCAGATTTATGCATCTTATGCAACGTGCTTCACTACCAACAAGCCGTTTCAACAGCATTGAGAAGAATGCGCAAGATTCCCGATATGTTTCCGTTGGTTACGCAGTCGCTCTGTGTGGCAATCTGAAATGAGACAATCTCGGCAGGAATGGCGGGAGAGAAACGGGTACCCACCAAATAGGGAGGCGAGGGATGGGGTGGGGAGGGGCGGACAGCCTGGGAGACATGGAGCAGAGAGGGGCTTTTCTGAGCTGTTCTGTATGGGGCGGGGTATCTCTGCATCATCAGCCAAATGCATCTTGGCTGTTGAAGGGACCTCCCCTGTGTTGAGGCCTTGGACAGAGAGAGCCATATTAGGGACTTTTTGGTTAAGTAGGAAACCTGCTATTCTCAGACTATTAAAAACTTTGAAAAAAAATGTAGGTATTAAGGAAAAGGTATTTGCTTGCTTTTCTACTGGGGAGAGGGGTTATACCAGAGAGCCCGGTGCGGTCTGTAGCTCCAGCATCTGGGGGCCTGCTTCCTGTGTAGACCACAGATGGAGAATGAAAAAGACACTGAACTTACATCAATCAGGCAAGGGCTGAGATTCCCTGGGCCCTAGTGGTGATGGGACCAACTGCTTAGCACTTACCTAATGCACAGAGGGCCTTGAAGGAAGAAATAGGAGTTAATTTTTATTGTATTTTATTTTGAGTCTGGGACTTCCATAGTTCAGGCTGATCTCAAACTTGCTATATAGCTGAGGATGACCTTGAACTCCCGATCCTCCTGCCTCTCTCTGCCTCCCGAATGTTCAGATTATTGGTGTGGGTCACCATACTTGGTTTATGTGGTGGTGTTGAGGATTGAAGCCAAGGCTTCATGCGTGCCAGACAAGCACTCTTAATCAGCTGAGTGAGGTACGTTCGTGATGTTGATTTTTAAAGTGCAATAGGACACAATGTCAGCAGAGGAAAACTTTAAGCCGTGGGTCCCGGGACGACCCACTCTGGAGCTTCAGCTCTGGGTGACCCCAAGAGACCATGCCGCTAAGACAGTCCTTTAGAGCTGGTCTCTGGCCAGATGTGACGTGGCTCAGGGTAGGCCCCTGCTGGCACTCAGTGGTGTCTCAGAATGCTTCCTGACCATGAAGTCTGATTTGATGGTAGGGGCCTCCAGGCCTTCATCACAGAGGAAGCGTGAGCCCAGAATGAGGGAATGAACGGGGCAGTGCTGCTGAGGCACCACAGTTCCATCGTGTGCCCCTGACTGGCACGCTGCTGCGGCATCTGTGCCTCCTCAGGTGTCATTGGAGTGTGGGCTCACTCAGTGATTTAGAGAGGGGGTCTTTACTCCCAGGGCAGAAGTTCTGGATTGTATATCCAGGGGGAGGTACCGTTGGAGAATGCTCTAGACAGTATGTAAGATGGTCCTTACCGTGGGGACCACGCTGAGTATCAGTGGCAAAGAGAGAACCTTCCAGTAATCATAACCCTGAAATCACACTTAGTCTGGTTGGTTGTTCTTCTCTGCTTTTGAATTCCCAACAGTCCACAAGTCAGTATGTGGCCAGCAATGCAGTTTATAATAAAAGCCAGAGTTGGAAACCATCTACTTAAAAAATATTTCTAAAAGTGGGCTTGCAACTATGTCAGAGAGGAAGTGGTCACTCAGGCTCAGTGGTAGGAATGTTCTTCCAGCTTCTTGCCGAGCAGAAACGCAGAATCCGGCGCCAACAGTTCAGAGAGCACTGGCCTCGAATGTTAAGTGTTCCCTGGAGCTGTGCATGTGCCTTTGGAAGCCAGAGGGCCATGTTGGGTGTCTCCGTCTGTCATCTTCCACCTCAGTTCTTTGGACCCAGTCTCTCACTGAACCTGGAGCTCATGGACTAGGCTACATTGGCTGCCAGTGAACCCTAAGGATCCTTCGGTCATCGTGTCCCTAGTGTTGGGATCACAGGCACACATACCCAGCTTTTTCTGTGGGTGCTGGGGATTTGAACATGTTTGATGGCAAGCACTGTATTGACTGAGACCCTGCTTTGAATTTTGGTCTTTGCTTAGATCATAAGCTTTGGACAGGTCAGAAAAATTAACTATTAAAAAACTATGTATGTATAAAAAACAAAGACACTTAACAAGGAGAACAATTCATTACATTTTAAATGGCTAGAATCATGCAAAAAAAATGAAAACAAAATTTCTATTGAAAGGAAAAAAAGTGGTGATCACATTCAGACTTTTTCACATGTTCCCTTTTTATGCTCAGGGCTTTGTTTGAAAAAGCAGAAAGTCTTTGTTTTGACCATTCTAGTGAAGCCATGCACACCTTCCTCTTTAAGCTTCACGACCTCAGGCCCGCAGGCCCTTCAAGCAAGAGAAGGACTTTGCCAAAGATGCATCCTAGGGTGTGGGGAGCCTGGGGCCTGGGTTCAAATTCTGGCTTTGCCGAGTGTTGCTCTGGTCTGTTCAGATACAGTAGACAAAGTGGTCTTCCTGAAGTCCCATTGAGTGCTGACCTTGAACAAGAGTTGATGGCCAGGAAAGTCTGGGGGGTGGGGCGGGGAGAGGGCCGTGCGGTCCTGTCTTCGAGGTGAACTCTGTGGTCTGTGTCCCTCCGCGTTGACTGTGTTTCTCTTTCTTTCTTCAGGCCTGGGCAGTTTTTAAAGGGAAGTTTAAAGAGGGGGACAAAGCTGAGCCAGCCACGTGGAAGACGAGGTTACGCTGTGCTTTGAACAAGAGCCCAGATTTTGAGGAAGTGACTGATCGATCCCAGCTGGACATTTCCGAGCCATATAAAGTTTACCGAATTGTCCCCGAGGAAGAGCAAAAATGTAACTATCTGTTGGGGCCAGGAAGCCTCCCAGGACCCTTCCTCACCTTCCCCCTTCTGCTCCATTTAGCCTTCGGTCTCCACAAAGCAGGCATGCCACCCACAGGGATCGGGTGCCTGCTTTAGCTAAACAAAGTTGTTCTCTCTTGTGTAAGCAGACCAGAGAGCTGGTCTGCTGACCTCACAGGCCATGTGCTGTCAAGTGGTAGCTTCCTGCAGAGGGAGTGGCCACACAGAGGCAGGGAAGGCTAGCCTGGGTCATGGCTCAGAGCGGGAGCCTGGCAGAACCCCTGGAGCTCAGTGTAAGCTCCCTTGAATAGGTGTGAGACTTTGCCGCAGCATACATGCAATGCAGAATTCCTTCTTGTTTTCTAGAATTTTCTACAGGGGAGGCTGGAGAAGATCGAGCGGGCAAGGAAGGCATGGGTCACAAGGTTGAGTGAAAAGTTCTCCAGTTAGACAAGACAGCAGCAGTGACCTCACTGATGGCCATGGCGTGTGACTACTGCCAGGGATAACATCATTCCTGAGGTCTCTTCCAGCAGTAAAATCCTAAAAGCATCTGTAAAGGCATGAAAGCAGAGACAGCCCAAACCTGCCATACCCACTGAGTGTGCCTGTCTGTGCTCTGGCCAGACATTACTAATCAATCAGAATGTACTGAGCTCAGTGCTAACCTCAGAATCCTTTTATACTCCTGTCCTGTGCAGAATCAGAGCTGTTTAATCTCCATCATGAGTTTGTGAGGGTTTTTGAAAGCTTTGGTTTTCACAGCCACTCCACACAGACCCAAGAATTTTGTGGAGTTGTGACTTTTTCTTTGGAAACTTACTGGCAGGCTGGTAAGAGCTGAAACCTTGCCACAGTTCTTAGGGCTGAACACAGATTCCGGGTTTGTCCTCATCCTTTGGTGGGGGTACTGAACAGCAGACATGCAGTTTTTTAAAAAGTACAAGTCATGACTCAAGCATCTACATAGTGAGCCAGTGCCAGAGTGTCTGTCACACACCAGGGGACTGACCTGGTGACGAAGCCTGTCAGAGAATATGGTATGCTGATACAGCTAGTCTGTTAGGGGTAGGAAGTACGTTGGTGTGTGTGTGTGTGTGTGTGTGTGTGTGTGTGTGTGTGTGTGTGTGTGTGTGTGTGTGTGTGATCCCAGGACTCAGGAGGCCAAGGCAGGAAGGAGGATTGTATCCTTAAAGCCAGCCTGGCCTGCAGAGTCAGACCCTGTCTCAAAAACAAAACAAAATCCCCCAGAGAGGAAGCTGAGCCAACTGAGGCCTGGCTGGTGCAGGTGGTACCACTGTGGTCGGCGGTGATGCCTCATCCGTCCTTTGTAGCTTAGGCACCTGCAGGTGGCTACCTGGTTTCACTGACTCAGAACCCCAGTAGGTGACCGTGATAAGACTTACACAGTGACCTTCCTTAGAAAAGCCTCGCGGCTCCCAGGGCCTGGCCCACTCTGTGCTGCCTCCAGAAGAAGGTCAAGTAGCCGAAGTTACTCCCTGCTCTAGACTGTTGGTCTTCACAGCGATTTGAGGCAACAGGGAAGTTGATCTCAGTGGCCCGCTCCCCCAGGATCAGCCAGGCTTGACTTGGTAGGACGACCCTGGCTTGTTTATAGCGTGGGTGGAGCCCCATCACCTGCAGCGTTGGGGGTGAAGGAGCAGCAGGCTCTTGAGCAGAGGAACACAGCATTTGCATAGTATTTGCCCTGGTACACTGTACTGTGAACTTGAGTGATTTGCTGGCCTGGGGGTGGGGTGGGGCGGGTAGGTGGGATGGGGTGGGGGGCTTCTTGCCCTCTGCTTGCTCCAGCAATGGCTTCTAAGTGAAGCCCTGCATCTGGATGGAGCAAGAGGGAAATTGCACAGGGCCCCTGGGAGTGGGGGGCCTGGCGGGGGGTTAGTGGTCATGCTGTTTCTCATGGGGGCTAACCTTCCAAGGCAAACTTCTGATCAGGGAAGAGGTGCAAAGTGGGCCAGAAGCCATCTGGACCCAGATGCTAGCCGATGAAAGCTTTGGCCCCCCTGGGAGGCAGGGGGAGGCTGTGAAAAAGGGCACGTGTGTGACTTTACCATGTGGCAGAGGTGCGCAGACACACACATGTATATTTGGAGAGGACAAAAAGATTCCTGCTACCTGTCTCCCCATCTGCCAGGGTATTTTCCAGTAAATCTCTGGGTGTTTTCAAATAACCCAGACTAGCAAACTTATCTTCAATATGTAGACAGTAAACGTCTGGTATAGAATGTACCAGGCGGGGCTCAGATAGAAGGAAGAAGCCAACCAAAGTCTGGTCCCTGTCCTTTAAAAGCCTTGTGTTTACAACCCCCACCACCCACTTCTCTCTTTTGACTTAGCTGATCAGATGACCAGGCCATGAGAAGGCACAGCTGAGTCTTTCCCAAACCTTCTAGCAGCTGCTGGTCAAAACCAGTGAGGACGCTGACCACCTCTGTTTCCTTAATTCAGCATTTTAAGAAAGGTTGCAATGCTTGGCTGCCCTGGGTCATGGTGTCCATCCCCTTTCCCATAGGCAAGCTGGGCGTGGCGCCGGCCGGCTGTATGAGCGATGTCACGGAGATGGAGTGTGGGCGCTCTGAGATAGAGGAGCTGATCAAGGAGGTGAGTAGACGCCTCCCAGATGCCTGCCAGGGAGGGACAGACACCGATTTTACCCCTCACAGGCATGGAGAGTCTCAGGCTCTCTAGGGAAGTGACAGTCCTGGCTGAAGAGGCAGAGTGAGGGGCTCCCAGGCCACCTCCCCAGGCCAGTCTTCCTGCATGGCCTGTCTCCTCCTGTGGGAAGTTGTGATGTTCAGGGAGGTCTTGGTTCTGCATCCTTTCACCTTGTCCTGTTTTCAGTGTACATTTTTTTTTTTTGTCAACTCACTTGAGCAAGTAGATGGCTATGATGCCGCACCAGGGTCACAAGCAAAGGAGGTTTCAGGACCTCTGGTAGTTGGATGTGTCCACCACTGAGTTCCCAAGATCCCCATGGCTCTCTGAGTGAGGTTCTCAAAAACAGTGTAGGATTGGTTCAGTGTCACCCCACAGGTTGCCCCAGAGCTGGGTCATGTCTCCCCGCCTCAAAAGACCAGTGAGCTTTTTCATTGCCTTGGCAAGCCTGGTTAGACTACCGGCTCGGTGGGTCTTACGAATGCGAAGCGAAGCCCAGGCTCTGTCTCATGAGATAAAGGTAGCTTTAGTTGTGTATCTGATATTGGGCTTTACCAACATGGGCTTGGGGGAGGACTGTGCTGGAGACCTGTCACTTAACCTGTTATTTTCTGTCACCTGGTCCTGTAGCCTTCTGTAGATGAATACATGGGTCTGACTAAAAGGAGCCCATCCCCACCAGAGGCTGGCAGGAGCCAGGTCCTCCCTGACTGGTGGGTCCAGCAGCCCAATGCAGGTGAGTGTGGATGGCCAGCACTGCCGGCCATTAGGCGCTTTGTGTTATGGTTGGGGGTACACGCCACTGTTAGGCTCTGTGTCCTGTGGAAGGTTACTGAGTCCAGATAGGTGAAAAACCACAGCCATGAACTGAGTTAGCCAAGTTGTAGCCTCCCAGGAAGGCAGGCACAAGTGTCTTGGTCCACAATAGGTAGTTAGGCATGGCCACTCTCCTCCCATATGCCCAGGAAATTGAGAGGAGGAGTCTGCCGACATACTCAAGACTCAAGGGAGGCCACAGCTCTCAGCCACCCTGCCTTCTCCTTCCTGGCTCACCATAAGGTTTGGTGTTCTCTTCAGACATTCAGGACACTCCCAGACCCAGAGAGACCCAGGGCTTCTGGAGAGAAGGGAGCTCAGTCAGGGCAATAGCTTGGAACCACACTGGGCAGTTGCATGTCTTGGTGGTGCTTCCGTTTACTCATCTATAAATTGGGGACACCAGTACCTGCCCAGTGGAATTAGAAAGTTAAATAAGGGATCCACACCTCTGTTAGCATCTGGCGGGTGCACCCAGGCCATGGATGCTTAAGAGGGTCATTCACCTGGGCCCCTGCTACAGCATGTGAGCAAATGTTATGGCTCATGGATACCTTGGTTTCCTCCTTTGCCTCTTTTCTGCTAAGACGGGAGCTGCCAGGAGGTCTTAGCTAGCCCTGCAGGCCTGTGATATTTCCAGACTGTGGGTGTTAATGTCTTGCAAGGGGCCCTGTGTTAAAAGATGCCTTTGGGAAACCTGCCTGGGATCCCAGGCTCCCAGGTGAGACAAGCCTTGGTTTTGTGTATAGTCTAGTGACATCTGGGCCAGATTCTGGCAGTAGGAAGGAAGCATGGTCCTGTGGATTGCTGGCACAAGCGCAGGATCCCAGAGCACTGAGGAAACCCTTTACCCTGATGAGTTCCTGTGTTTGTGAGACTGAGAGCTCACACGGAGTGAGATCTGCCCATCAGCATCAACACCAGCATCATTAGCGTCCCATCCATACCCCAGGGACACTTGGGTCACTCCCTGCTCATAGCACCAGCCCAGATGAGAATATACTTTTTTTTTTCTCCGCCTACAGGCCTACCCCTGGTGACCGGGTATGCCACCTATGACGCACATCACTCAGGTACCAGGCTCTTCTGGGTGGGTGGGCATGGCACAGGCTCTTTTGGAAAACAGTCTCGTGACCTGGGTGGGGTCTTGAGGTCCTATGGACAAGTGTGGCTTGGGGGTAGGCTTTGAGGGCTGCCTCCCCCTCTTCATTCTGTGTAGTGTAGGAGCAGGCAAGTGGCCCAGGTTTGCTGATCTCCCTGAGGTGGCCGTAGTCAGTCCAGAGGGTCTTCAGAGGCAGCAATGCAGAAGAGAGTCAAGGCTGCCCTGCTGCCTTGGCCTCGATGGAGGGATCTGGCCTCTTGGAGCATCAAGTTTCTCATACGTGAAGTGCTGTGAGGATCCCGTGTGCTGCACTGTCACTAACACTGTCTAGTAGGGATACAGCTGGCCAGTGTCACTCGTACAGGGTCCTTCACCTCCTCTCACCTCCAGTCCCATAGTGACAGTTACAGTGATGGTTGGTACCAATGCTGATGGCCATGGTGATGATACTGATGGTGCTCATTGTATGGGTGATGCTGATGGTGATGATGCAGGTGATACTGATGGTGCTGGTGTGGATGCTGATGGTGATGATGCAGGTGATACTGATGGTGCTGGTGCGGATGCTGATGGTGATGTTCTATCTCTGAATTCTCCACTTCTCTCCCTGTGCCGTCTGACTGTCTTGTTGTCTGTGGTCTGTGTTATTTTGTCTCTCTGTTCTGTGGGTCTGATGTCTCTCTGTCCCTGACAAAGTGCTTTGCTCTGTGATTCTTTAAGGGCACAGAAAACACAGTATGTGAAAGGACCGAGGAATTCTTTTTTTTTTTTTTTAAACAGAGATCTTGAACAGAGTTTTACAAGGAAGAAGTGACTTTGCTGACCCCAGCTGACCCAGAATAGCACTTAGAGCTTCAGATATGTTATTTATTTTTATCCTCATGTTGCTTCTAACACTTATGGGATATTTGTTTTATTTAAGATTGCTTTTAATCTATTGGCCACTTTCAGCAAATGATTACCACAGCATGCACACAAGCACACATGTACACACACACACACACACACACACACACACACACACACACACACACACTATTCTGGGGCATAGGAATGGAAGAGTACGTAACTTAAGATTAAAGCTATTGTTTAGCTTGGGTTGTACAAACTTATTGCATGGGAAATCCAAGGCATAGTAAGGTCAGTTACATTGTTTTCTTAAAAGCAGGTTAAACAGGCAGAGAACGCAGCAGGGAGACAGATGGAGGACATAGCTTCAAATGGTCTCAAGGCAAATTATTAGCCGGTTTGCGGGGCCAGGTTAACTGCACAGGTTCAGTTTCTGAAGGCAAGAGGTGTTTCCAGAAAAAAGCTAACCCCACAGTCGATGTTTCTGATGGTAAGATGGTGGTGATGCCCATGCTGCTGCTGAGACTGATCGTACTGGCGCTGGTGATGCTGTTGGTTACGGTGCTGATGGTAATGGTGGTGGTGATGATGATGATGATGTTGATGGCGGTGATGGTGCTGGTGCTGGTGCTAGTAGTTTTGATAGTAGCGGTGATAATAGTGATGGTGATGATGATGGTGACTGGTGTTCACGGTGCAATTTTGGGTGCCAGGGTTAAGGCTGACATTCTTGTGGGCTCTTTTTCCTCCCTCGCTTCCAACCTCCTCTAGGTTATGGAGGTAGGTTGGTCCCCATTTCACAGGCCCTGGGTGGTGAGGCTGCCCCATGCTCACTGCTGCTTGCTGTGGGACTGGTGGCATCTCTGTACATTCTCAGGAGCCGCCATGTTCTCTGGTTTCATGGCAGACCCAGTGGAGCTCAGGGAGAAGCGTGCCCTGGGGACCATCATGGGGGCAGAGGCAGATGCTCACTAAGTAAGAAAAATACAAAGGAAATGATGCTCTGTGTAGTGCCAGACTGTATGTTGGGGTCCTTCTAGAGCTGTCTGTACATAGAGACCATAGTTTGTTCAAGTTTCTGAGGGCGTTTGCCTCCCAGCCTGTTCTCAAGCCTCGTTAACCCACTCACAGGAAGCCTGGGGTCATGGGCCTTTAGCCTTGTTAGTCCTGGGCTGTGGCCCTGAGAGTCTGCTGACCAATGCATTCTGGGTGCCATGTTGGCCGGGCCCAGACCTGTGGCCATCTGAGTGAGAGGTAAAGTTAGGCTGTGAGGAGGAAGTGTCCTTGAGCCCTGCAGAGCTGTCTCAGCATTTATGAGGAAAGCAAGGAGTTCCCAGTCGCCGCTGGGAGCAGATGCCCCAAGCTCCTTTTCCAGAACCCAGGTCACACACCCTGTCTCTGTCGATAAGCCGAGGCCAGGGCTCCTGACTTCCTGACTACAGAGATGGCAGAGAGTGAGATGGATGGGGAGGAGCGGTAGGGAGCAGGGGAGACTGTGGCACCGTGGAGAACCTTGGCCTTCAGGTCTGCCCCATGGTAGCTGCCTCCCTGTGGTAACCAGTGTTCTGGGTCTTTAGATCAGGCTAGGATGGACTTCCTATATGTCAGAAAAATCCAGAGGTCTGGCTTTTAAATTTTTTTTTTTTGAGACAGTCTTAATGTGCAGCCCGGGATGGTTATGAACTCACGACCCTCTTGCCTCAGGCTCTGGAGTGCTAGGGCGTGAGTCGCCACTCTTTATTTGCCGTCCACCCCCAAGTCTCTCAGTGCCACCCTGCTGTCAACCCTCCCCGAGGCTGCCGGTGTGTTCCCAGCCTGTGTGTATTCCATAGATGGATCAAACAGTGAGCCTTTTCGGCATGTCTCAGCATTTCAGAGTGAGCCAGAGCCAGCCTGCTGTGGGGAGCAAGGCCAGGCTCCCCCACAGAACAGCTGGCCTGGCACACCTTCATCCCTTCCGCCTCACTTCCTCATCTGCAAAAGGACTGCCGTGACCAGTAACACACGGCAGGGGTCTGATGTGTGGATGGGTCCAAAGCACCTGGCTCAGCACCTATCACAACCCCTGCGGACCAGGGTTTGTGGTGCACAGTCTCAGGGGACTTATTTGTGGACCCAATTTTGCCCTGTTTCCCTGGCTCATGTGGTCCCAAAGCCCCACCCCCCAAGCTGGTGCTGTTGCCATCTCTAGCTTGTTGATGAACAGCAGGCACAGAGGGGTGAAGCCACTTGCTTTAGGTCACACAGCTGTGAGGAAGCAGTGCTGGAATTCTGTACTGAAGGGGATGCTGACGGTGATGGTGCTGATCCTGATTTTATGATATTAATGGGGGGCCTGGGGTCCCATGTGGGGTGAGCTGCTGGTGTCTTCTGTGGATGCATGTAAAGCAGGCTGCATCAAGAGTCTTAGAATCTCAGTGGGGGAGGTGAAGACGCATCACAGCATGGAGAGCATTGGTCACCTGCTTCTCCTCTGGGTCTGTACTTGTCACTTGTGAGGTGTGGCAGCTTGGCACCACGCTCCTCCCACCTGTCCCTTCTCCAAGCTCAAGGTGCTACGGCAGGGGGTCACTGAGCCAGTCCTGCCTGCATACCTCTGAGACATTTTGCTGTTCCTGGGGCTGTTCCTGGGGGTGTTAAGGGCTTCTGGTTCCAAAATTCCTCTGAGACAACAGGGTGAAGTTCACAATGTGGACATAGCATGAGCACAGGGCACAGTGTGAACACAGGGCACAGTGTGAGCGCAGGGCACAGTGTGAGCTCAGGGCACAGTGTAGACACAGGGCACAGTGTGAACACAATGCACAGTGTGAGCGCAGGGCACAATGTGAACACAGGACACTGTAGACATAGGGCACAGTGTGAGCGCAGGGCACAGTGTGAACACCGGACACAGTGTAGACACAGGGCACAGTGTGAGCGCAGGGCACAGTGTGAGCACAGGGCACAGTGTGAGCACAGGGCACAGTGTGAGCGCAGGGCACAGTGTGAGCGCAGGGCACAGTGTGAGCGCAGGGCACAGTGTGAGCGCAGGGCACAGTGAGTGCAGGGCACAGTGTGTGCACAGGGTACAGTGTGAGCACAGGGCACAGTGTAGACATAGGGCACAGTGTGTGCACAGGGTACAGTGTGAACACAGGGCACAGTGTGTGCTCAGGGTACAGTGTGAACACAGGGTACAGTGTGAACACAGGGCACAGTGTGAACACAGGGCACAGTGTGAACACAGGGTACAGTGTGAACACAGGGCACAGTGTGAACACAGGGTACAGTGTGAACACAGGGCACAATATGATCACAGGGTACAGTGTGAACACAGGGTACAGTGTGAGCACAGGGTACAGTGTGAGCACAGGGTACAGTGTGAGCACAGGGCACAGTGTGAGCACAGGTTACAGTGTGAGCACAGGGCACAGTGTGAGCATAGGGCACAGTGTGAGCACAGGTTACAGTGTGAACACAGGGCACAGTGTGAGCACAGGGCACAGTGTGAGCACAGGGCACAGTGTGAGCACAGGGCACAGTGTGAACACAGGGTACAGTGTGAGCACAGGGCACAGTGTGAGCACAGGGTACAGTGTGAGCACAGGGCACAGTGTGAGCACAGGGCACAGTGTGAGCACAGGGCACAGTGTGAACACAGGGCACAGTGTGAGCACAGGGCACAGTGTGAGCACAGGGCACAGTGTGAGCACAGGGCACAGTGTGAACACAGGGCACAGTGTGAGCACAGGGCACAGTGTGAGAGGCAGATGCAATACTGGGAGCTCCATTCACTTAGAATGAAGTCCTAAATTGTCCCAGGGTGCAGAGGGGATGTGTCAGTTTGTTGGTGATACAGACACAGGGTTTACTCACATGACTGGTGGAGAGTACAGGGTGTGAGGAATAGGTATACTAGAACTACCACGTAACTGCTGACCAAGCTGACCTGGGCCTCAGTTTCCCGTAATGTGAGCTTGATGACCAGAACCCAAACAGCTGACTGTTTATTCAGGTGACTCTAGAACTCTAGGTAACTGCAGCAGGGGACAGCAGAGTCTGTGGACAGTGGTGGGCGCTCCGATTGATAGACCCTATGGAAGGGTCTGAGGATTCCAAATGTGCAGCCGTGTTAGCCCCGACAATGTGTGCTACTCACACAGGCCCGTTCAGTAGCGAAGTTGGTGGCCGGCCGCACAGCTCCAGGACACCGTAGGCTTGGGGAGCTATCAGCTTCTGTGGCTCCAGAGGGATGCCTGAACCGGTGAGAAGTTGAGGATGCATGAGGCTGCTGTTGGTGGAAAACTCTGTTTATAGCAGTTATGGAGCATCTCCAGTGTCCCATAGCTCTGGGCTCTTCTCCTCATTCCTGCAGTAGTTCAGGGTCTCCCTAGTTCCCATCATTGGAGCCCCACCTCCACGCTAGCTGTCAGTCAGGGACTGCTGGGCCCTCTGCATCGTATTTTTCCTGTCTTTTCACTGGGTGAGTTTATCTGGAATGCTGCCGTCCTTGCCTGTAAGAGGACACCGGCAGCACCTGTTAGACAGGAAGCCAGAGGCTGAAGCAAACGAAAGTCCACAAAAGCAAAGTACAGAGTTGGTAAATTTCCAGCCTCACGGCAGAGCGCTCCCCGGCCTTTCTGGAGGACAGGCTGTGTGCAGGATTTTACAGAGGTTTGCGATCCGAATCCAGGGAATCCCAGGTCATCCATCGTGTGTTGTGAAGATGATATTATGACGTCCACACGGGTGATGTTTCTTCCCATCTCAAAGGGAGGCCACTGAGTCCAGGGTGACAAGGGAATCAGAGCCCCAGGCGCTTCATGAGAAATTATGTAGGCAATACCTGCGTGGCTTGAACTTGGTGAAGTTCCCAGGCCTTCCTAGATTGTGTGTGTGTATGCTCACATGTGTGCGTTCATGTGTGTGCAGAGGCATGTGTGTGTGTTCATGTGTGTGCAGAGGCATGTGTATATGAATGTATCTTCATATGTGTGTGTGCATGAATGCATGTTTGTGTGTGTGTGTTCATGTGTGTGCAGAGGCATGTGTGTGTGTTCATGTGTGTGCAGAGGCATGTGTGTGTGTTCATGTGTGTGTATGTGTGTTGTGTGCATGTGTGTAGGCCAGCGGCCAGTCTTAAGTATCATTTCTAGGGCACTGTCCATCTTATTTTTTGAGACAGGACCTCCCATTGCCTTGGATCTTACCAAATAGGTGAGACTGGCCGGCCAGTCAGCTCCAGGGCTGGCCTTTCTCTGTCACTCAGGGTGTTTGCTGGGATTACAAGCAAACACCACTTGGAAGGAGGAATAGACTCTGAGCCTTTGGGAAAGAGGGCCTGGGGCTTCCCCTCTGCCAGGCCCCTGACTGCCCTGTGTTCTCACCCCCAACAGCCTTCTCCCAGATGCTGATCAGCTTCTACTATGGGGGCAAGCCGGTGGGCCAGGCTACCACCACCTGCCCCGAGGGCTGCCGTCTATCCCTGAGCCAGCCGGGCCTTTCCAAATTGTATGCGCCCGATGGCCTGGAGCTGGTGTGCTTCCCTACAGCTGACACCATCCCCAGCGAGCGGCAGAGGCAGGTGACCCGGAAGTTGTTTGGGCACCTGGAGCGTGGTGTGCTCCTGCATAGCAACCATAAGGGTGTGTTTGTGAAACGGCTGTGCCAGGGCCGCGTGTTCTACAGTGGCAACGCGGTGGTGTGCAAGGGCAGGCCCAACAAGCTGGAGCGGGATGAGGTGGTGCAAGTCTTTGACACCAACAAGTTCTTCAGAGGTCAGTACTGAATCACCTCACTGTCCCTGCCTTAGAGTTCACACCCACCTACTACCCTGTGCCACCTGTATCATGGACTCAGTTTACTCTTGCAGGGGGTGAGGGCTTTGGCAATGGTATAGATGGGGAACCCTTTGAAGCTTGACCTGCACATTCTCCCTGAGTAGCCTGGGGAGCCCTTGCCTCAGTTTCCCCTGCGTAGACAGGACATTAGAGTGGGGTCCTTTCCTTTCAGATTGTGGAGTTAATGAAGCTCGTGGTTGTTCCCTAGCCTGGGAACTGCTTAGAAATGCAGAGTCCAAGGCCTCAGCCAGCCCAAGCTCAGCTCCTTTACCTTGGCAGGGTCCCTAGAGAGGTGGCATGATTCAGTGTGTCCAGTCCTCAGCCTGTGGGCTGCATGTGGCTCCCTTCCAAGCTCTGCAGCCCACCCCTGGACTCTGACTACAGCTCAGAGGCTCACTGGTTTCTGTGTTCTTCCAGAACTGCATCAATTCTACAATGCCCAGAGTCGTCTTCCTGATAGCAGGGTGGTGCTGTGCTTCGGGGAGGAGTTTCCAGATACAGCGCCCTTGCGCTCCAAACTCATTCTGGTGCAGGTGAGAGCTGGCGGCTTCTGTCTTTTGCTCAGGCATCCTCACCATAGTTTATAATGGGGGCCAACTTTATCCCAGAGAGGAGACAGCAAGGACTGAGAATTCCACCCGTGTGACCAGGGCAGAAGGGGGCGAACAAGACCGCACATGGCTCCTGCCACCTCAGCGTTTTGTCTTCCCACCTTGGGAGTCTCTTCATCTGTGTTTTCCTCCTTCTCTTCCTCCCTCTCTCCTGATTTCCCTTCCTCCCTTCCCCTGTTCCTTCCCCTTTAGAAAATCTCCACCTGCCCAGTGGCCCTAAGGTCTAAGTGACAGATTACAGTCTTGTCAGTCCTCCTTTGACGGTGGTCGAGCAGTGGCATTCTGAGCATTGTCTGGCCAGGTTGGAGCAGTCCTGGGAGAACACCCTCAGCAATGTTCAGAAGTGCTGTCTGCCTGGCTCCTTCTTGTCACTGAGGGGCTCAGGCGACCTGTGGTGGAGGAAGGCCCCCCCATTCTCCTCCCACCTCTCTTCTGACTTCGCACACGGCCTTCGCAGGTGGAGCAGCTGTATGTCAGGCAGCTGGTGGAGGATGCGGGCAAGAACTGTGGTGCTGCTTCCCTGGTGCCAGCCCTGGAGGAGCCCCAGCTAGACCAGACCTTCCGGATGTTTCCAGACATCTGTGCCTCACACCAGAGACCCTTTTTCAGAGAAAACCAACAGATCACCGTCTAAGCCTCTCCCCGGGCCATCCCACCTCACCTGAGGCTCAAGCTTCACGATTCTGTGACTGAGAGGATTCTGAAAGGATGTGGACCCCTCTGACTAGGGTGGGCGGTGTCCTCCGTGGGGTCTCCAGAAGCACAGACATGGACACGCTCCTGCTCAGGCAGACATCGGAAGCTTGCAGGGGCTGTGGCCAGAACCTGTGATTAAAACGTTTGTTTCCTGAATTTTCCCCTTTACCATTAATGGTTATTCTTTCTGCATGTTGAAGTCACTATGACAGTTTAAAAAAGTCTGTGCCAATAGGGACTCCTTTGTCCTCCTTGGCCGAAGGTAGAGATTTATGACTTCCTGTGCTTGCCTCTACATAAGCCATCTTTTTACTGTTCAGCCCTTTTCTATTTGTTTTTGGCCAGAAGGCTGAGAAAATAAGTTGATGCATTTTTTTTAAAGAAACTTTTATAATGAGATGGTCCAGGTAACCGCTGTCTCCTTTTTAAATGGTTTTCATTTTTTAAACAATATTTTTGTTTTGCATGACCTACTGCCAACCACCTTGGACCTTTCCTGTAAAATGGGCAGATAATATAAATGAGTGTAGATATTGCTTGTGAGTTTCATATGAATTTTGGTTGTGGCTCATCGGTTCACATGACTCTGTATGAACTGGCAGTGGTTTATGTGGGGCGTGGTCGGACCAGGAACTGTGGAGGGGACCCACCCATAGACATCTCATCCTTCCATTGTACCACTCCACATCTAGTCAATCCTAAGACCCAGTGAAAAGCAATATCCAAATTTTGCTCTAGGCTTAGAAGTGCCCACCCATGTGCCGGAGGAAAGGCACTTATCTTCCATATCACAGAGCAGAATGTCCACCTGTAACATGTTGAACAGAAGCCAGGGTGGAAACCTTAGGGCGCGGCTCGGTGACTGAGGCCCGTTTGTGCCCCCAGGCTGGCTGTCCGGTCTAGTTCTAGTATGTAAGTAATTTAAATCCCTGGCTGTGGCGTCACAGGGACGCCTCCAGAACCGCTTCCTGTAGGAGTGAGCCACTGCCAAGGATTTAGTTTGGCTACCAGGGCGTAACAGGTGCAGATGCCAAGCAGAGGTGGTGTAGGGAGCATCCTCTCCCTTCCAGAGACCTCCTCGATTCATTCTCCTTTGTGACCATCCTGGATCTCTCCTAATGTGCCAGCGTTCCACAGAGAAGGGCAGGGGAAGCTTTACCCTGTTGACTATTGTTCTGAGAAGTAGGGGAAGCATGAGGGTTTGGAAGACAGTCCCAGCCAATGAGGGGCTCGACAGGCCACGCCTTACAACCAGAAAAGTCAGAGAACATGGAGAACATCATGGCTGCTGTGTGAAGGTGGGCCGGCTCAACAGATACCGTCGCCAGAGTATGGGACACCTGCAAACAGAACCCGGGGCTTGCTTCTCCCCCTCGGTCAAAGCCAGGACAGTCTGTCTGCTGGCCATGTGTCACATGTCACCCACCTCCTGTCTCAGGGAGTGCTAACACACAAATATGTAATCCAAATATTTATTTTTGTATCCACTTGAAAAGTATTGATCTCATCCTTTATTAAAGTAAATTACTCTTTCATAAAAGTGATATCTGTTCTTTGCTTTTAAAAACTACTCTCAAATATAATTTTCATTAGATTCCAGGATTTTTTTTTTAATTTTGATTAAAAAAAATTGAGACAGGATCTGACTCTGTAGTCCAGGCTTTGAACTCATTGCAATCCTCCTGCCTCAGCCTCCTGAGTGATGGGAATATAGGCATGAGTCACCATGACTTTGAGGATTCTTAAAGAAGGAACTTTAAAGAAATAATGGGCTGAGATTTTAAGGATTTAGAGTTTTTGTTTTGTTTTGGTCCCCCCCCCCCCCAAAACAATGGCAGAAAGGCCTGGAGAATGGATCAGGTGGACAGAAGACACTGGAGAGCACGGTGGGCAGTGGATGCTGTTCCGTCAGAGGCCTGTCTGGGTTTCAGTGAGCCCAGGCTGTGTGAAGTGTGGGAGGGCGTGGAGGAAGGAGACTGCACTGGTAGCACCATTCTGGAAGCATCAGGGGGCTAGTTACCAGTCAGGTGATGAGGAATGATTTCCACTTACATACACATGCTCATACTGGACACAAAGCCCAGTATGGTCCCTCACTGATGCCCCATCCAGCCCAGGGACCATTGCATTAGCAATTGGGAGCAAAGCCCCCACTGCAGGTGGGCACGGGCTGCTAGCTCGGGTGGGTGGACGCAGCCCAGCACATCCTGTCTCTGAGGCAGTGCATACTACCTCTGCTCTCATGGGATCCCTCAGAGACAAGGCCTGTTAGTCACAGCTTACAGGTGTGGAAAGAGAGGCAGAGGTCCATGCGTGGCTGGTGTGAAGCCTTCTGGGAGCACTGTTAGAGGGAAGAGCCTCTGTGCAAGATCCTTGACCCAGAGGACAGCTGACCCCAGAGCAAAGGACAACAGGCATTTCTGCACTGAGTCACATTAGCTCCGGAGTGCTCCAAGCAGGAATTTTGTTTATAAGCCGCTCTTCTCTGAATGTGGAAAGTGAACCCAGTCCCAGTTTGTGTCTCTCAGAGTTAACGCATGGGCCAAGAATGGATGCTGCCTCTCTGAAGCGCAGGAGGGAATTAGAGTCTCTGAAGGCTGGGGCCTCCAGGGACAAGACTTGGGTCCTCAAAGGAAAGTGACTTTCTCTGGATGGAGAGTATTTGGCTCTGAGGGAAAGACCAGCTACCTCTACTCTTAGGATAAAAAACGACTTAGGAAGTTGGCATGTGTCGACATGGCTCTGTGCATTGCTGTTTAGCTCACCAATGCCTGCAAGACCCACCAGGGAAGCAAACGCCCTCTTTTCCCTTGTACCATCCACATAGGACAATGACCCTAGAGACGAGCAGGTAAGAACAGGGTGGGGCAAGGCCAGGGTGTACCTGCTGCAGGAGGGCTTGGTTGGGCTGGTGGAGGGTGAGGGGAGACTGTGTGACCACAGGACAGGCTAGGGTGCCACCCACTCAAAGCTCACCAGCTGCTCCTGCTTCTGACTCCGGGTTTCCTCATCAGTAAGAGGGATTTGGTACCACACACTGAGGAGCAAATGGCCTGCCACTCAGGAAATGCAAAAAAAAAAAAAAAAAAAAAAAAAAAAGGTGCATTTCCATTTATCACTCATTTGTAATTAAGCTGTGCGTGATTAAATAGTTGCACTATAAATATTAAATAGTTCTTGTCAACGAACTGTAATGCCAATGGTCAAGTATGTGTGGCAATCAACTATGTCAGTAACGTAATTGTTTGTGGGGTGTGGTGGTGCAGTCCTGCAATCCAAGCACTCAGGAGGCTGAGGCAGGAGGATGGTGAGTTCCAGACCATCCAGGGCTACACAGTGAAACACTGTCTTAAGAAACCAAACCAACAATAATGGAATAATTAATACTCAATTGTTAGGAGTTATGATAAAGCAATCGATGAATGTATAGAATTATATGGTTCCCTTTAATTATGGACATCGATTTAATTGTATATGGTATTAATGTGATCATTTAAGAAAGCTGCAACTGTAAACAGTAATGAAATTACTAAACTTCTCTTATGAAGTTACTTACACAGATCTCGGCTAGCCTAAGGGCCAGGCTGCCTTGATCCCAACTTCCCGCCCTGGACTACTGTAGCACTCTGTTTTATTATTTATTTGTTGGCTTTTGAGAAAGGGTCTTAGTCTGTAGTCCAGGCTAGCCTCAAACTTGGGACAAGCCTCCTTTCTCAGCCTTCCGACTGCCTGGGTGGTAGGGTGGCTCTGATGATCACACGGCAGGTGGTGGGAGAGGCTGTGACGCATTGCCTGAGATCGACGTGGAGCCCTGTGACGGGAAGAGGGGCCTGAGGATGGCTCAGAGCCGCTGAGAGGTGTGAGATCCCATCTCAGCCTTCTCCCAACAAGCAGTGCCAGCGTGAAGGCAATTCCACAGGTTTCTTTAAGCAGTCAGACGAACTCGCACACCCCATAGGAGGAGTCACTGTGAGCATCTCCCCTGGAGACCACCGAAATGGTGTGCTTTAGGTCAGCCTTTCCTATGTGGTGGAAGGAGAGAGGCGGGAGAGTGAAGGAAGGGCAGAATCTGGGGGTATAGGATCACTTGTGCTGAGACACGGGGAGGGAACAGCTTTTGTGGATGCTGACAGTGACAGGGACCTCCTGGTCCCTCCAGCATGGGTGAGCAAAGGACCGAGGTTGGGAGTGACCCTGGCTTGGAGCTGTGTTACTGAGTGGGACTGAACTCAAAGCATTGTGGGTCACACCTTTGCACTGAGGGCTGGTGGCTATAACGCCCCCTGCTTTGCTTTGGTCTGAAGTATATGAAAAAGGAAACTTAAAAATTGCCCAAACCCCCAAAGGGACAGGAGGGAACCCCAGGGCAGCTCCTTGGCTAGCTTTGGGGAAAAAAATCAGTGTCTCAGCTGCCCCAGATGCCCCTGCAGGGGTCCCTCGATCTCCACAATGCCCTGCCTCTGTCTGGAGCGAGATGTGGATCAAAGCAGGTTAGAGATCCTGAGGCCAGAATAAAGTGACTGTTGCTAGGGCCTCTGTGAACAAGTCAAGACTCTTACGATGGGAGATCCTTCTCGAATATCCACACAGGCCAGTGTCCCAGCGTGGAGTCACAGTCTATGGAGAGGGGACAGAGAGATCAGAGAAGACACGTGACACCAAGAACAGGATTTCGTCAGGTGTGATGGCTTGAAGGTGGAGGCCAGGCTGTGAGCCAAGGAATGAGGGGACTCTGGAAGCTGAGATGGCAGGGAAACAGACAGAGGGTTCTAGAAGGAGCTGCCATCCCACGTTGTGACCTTGAGGACTGTAAGGGATCGAGCGTGTGCTGTTTTAAGCCACTATTCTGGCCATTTGTCCCACAGCCCTAGGACAGTTGCCCAGAACCTTGATGTTCAGAAAGGACACCCAGGACTCCCAGGATGGGGACTAGGGGTCCTGTATTTCATGGTGGGTTGTACCATCCCCCTTTCCTCCAGACTCAGCTTCCCCACAGCTGCTTCTCTTTCATCAGCCGCCTGACCTTACGGGGGAGCCACACGGCCCCCCGTACTTAGGGACACTGGGGTGGAAACCCCAAGGCTGAAAATAGCCCTGCACTTTTCTTGGTTAGGTTTCTTGCTGTCAGCTGCCTCGGGGCAGCCGGCTGAAAAAGCCACTTCCTTTCTGCCAGCCTAGCTGTCCATACTGGCGTCTCTCTTCTGTCCTGCTGAGTTCCCAGCCCTGCAGGTGGCCCAGGCTGGGCTCCTGGGGAAGACTTTCCCAGTGTTCCTGGCCTGGCTGTGGCAGGTGTTTTGGGGACGGGGTGGCACCTGATTCTGTCTTTTCATTCCAGGGTCCTTCCTCACTCTCAGGTTCGAGGTGATGTTTCCTTTCTCGGGGTGTGAGCTCCGACCACGATGGTGTCACGGCCAAGAACTTGTTTCCACTCAAAACCGCGGGCAGCGCAGGCCTTTCTCAGGAAATTTCTCCCCCTCCCCACCCTCAGTTCTCAAGCTTGACCTCAGGGCTGGTTGCTGCTGGAAAGTATAAATGACACCGAAGGACACAGATCGCCTTGGGTGCGCGTGGGAGGAAGACGCCGTCTTTACAATTTACCACATTTCACACAGGCTGCTTTTTAAATGCCAAGGAGGCAAACAGTGCCCCCTGCTCATGGTGACTGAAAGACGAAGCTTCCTGTGATGGCCTGCCACTTGCCCCTCACCACAGGGCGGCCAGAGATGTTTGTTGAGGGAAATGGATGTGTGTGTGAGAGAGTGTGCCACCAGGGTTCTGACATGACTGGAAGGTTCTAGAACATATAGTCAACCTCCTCTGTTAAGTCAGACCCATGTGCTTACTTGAAATCATTGTCCAGGTGGGTCCTAATGTCCTGAGTGTCTTCTGGACTGGACCACTACCCGGTGAGGGCAGTGATCCATTCTAGCATGATGGATACAACCCCATGATCCCGAGGGTGTGCCCTAGTGATGTCCAGGGCAGGTCTTCTCAGTCATGACCAGGAAGACTCTGTGACAGGTGGTGGTGTCCTCTATCCCATCTCCTCCCATTTCAAGAGTATCACTCTTATTATTCAGATAGAGAAACTAGGACCCAGAGATGGGGTTTAAATGACAGAGCAGCTTATACTGGAATTGGCCAGAAGGTGATCCTGTACTTGGTGGTAGGTCTGCAAGTCTCTCTCTCTCTCTCTCTCTCTCTCTCTCTCTCTCTCTCTCTCTCTCTCTCTGTTTTTTTGTTTTATTTTTTGTTTTTGAGACAGGGTTTCTCTGTGTAGTTTTGGTGCCTGTCCTGGATCTTGCTCTGTAGACCAGGCTGGCCTCGAACTCACAGAGATCCGCCTGGCTCTGCCTCCCGAGTGCTGGGATTAAAGGTGTGCACCACCACCCGGCACCCGGCGCCTGCCAGTCTCTTGCCGTGGAGCCCTGACTGTGTCAGGCATGCTGTCTTCCTCTGTGTGTTTCAGGGGAGGGTCCCATCCTCACCCAGCTATGGACCTTGGCCATCTCTGAGACAGTGGGTCTTCCTGAAGGGTCA